CCCAAGGGCAGGATTTGAACCTAATCTGTCTGACCACACACCATTTTGTCAAACTACACCAATTCCCTTCAGTTCCAAAATTTACATTTCCAAGGGTATGTTGGCAGAACTAATTACTCTGGTTGACTGCACTTTTAGTCAACTTAAGGTAGATTTTGTTTATTTATTACAATTCTTGCAGAGAATCTTCCGAAAAGCATAGCAGACAATCCTGCGGTAGAGAGAGAAATCATTGTCCTGCCATGTGCATCATTCTAAATACTCAGGTTCACTCTAAGGTATTTGAGAAGAAATGTATTTTGTTCTCAGCTATTACCCCATATTTTAGGGATTCTGAAACGATTTCCCTAACGATAAACTTGGTGTGTGCCTGCTTGTCATTCTTCTCCTCTAAAAGGGGAAGGAAAATAGTATGAGATTGTTCTTGAGTGAATGATTGGTTGGGTCCCATTTATTCAGTGAGTTTCATCCACTGCCCAGCTAGTTATTATTTTAATCGCCTTATTGTGTTCTATTCCGTTAATTTCATAGGCATATATTTCATTTTAAAAATCTGGTTTTCTTTTGCCTTTTCCACTGCTCAAATATAAGCCCACAAACCTAAAAGACATCACTATTTCTCCAAATCAGTTATGTACTATTTCAAGTCCCAGATTCATTGAGAATATAACGAAAGCTATGAATATTTTACCCCAAAAACCACATACTCACCAAAACACAGAATGTGGCACTCAGCACCAAGATAAACAACCCACTCTGTCACGAGGACATACACCTGCCTGATACGCCTCCAGGCCTCTCCCTTCTCTGGGGAACTATTCTTGCCCCAACTCCACCAGGCAGAAGCTGCCACCTTTTCACCACTGCGCAGTCCCAGGGGGTGGCCAAGAATGACCAAAGTCAACCCAGGCGAAATCCTTCCATGGGATTTTTATAACGGAACCAGAGACAGAAAGTCCCCTTTGGGGGCAGAAAGTACCAAATGTAATTCAGGAACCATCAGTTCCTTGCCCTGTCAGCTGTGAGAAAGAATGAAGCCAAAAGGACAGAAAGCCCTGGCTGGGTAGCTCAGTTGGTTAGAGCATCCAGGCGACAAGCCAAGGTTATCGGTTCGATTCCCAGCCAGGCATGCAGGCACATACAAGAGTCAACTAATGAATGCATAAACAAGTGGAAAACAAAACTTGATGTTCTCCCTCTCTCTCCCCATTTCTAAGGACAGAAATGTCCCAATAGCACTCAAGCACTGGTTCCCATGGATCTGGAGGCTCAGCAGCATTCGTGTCCTTCTCCTGGTTTGATTACTAATCCCCACCTCCCCAGATAGGCCTCCAAAACTCCCGAATAGCTTAAATTTTTGCCTAAATTCATTTGTGTTCCTATGGCTTGCAGCCAAAAGACTCTAATATTAATAACGGCTACTTCTAAATACTATATTTGTTTTAAGCAAGTTTTATACCCTTCAAAATTTTTCTATACCAATAATGTCTTCCCCTAGATATTTAAATAGGTTTTTAAATATAATTTCTAAAAGGCTCACATTTCATTCTGCATAAATATCCTTTAGAATATGTTTAAAACAAGTCTTAGCTCAGATCAGTCTTCATGCTCCACACACTATTAAAATATAATTTTAAGAAGCTGTCTGATCCTTTTTAGTTTAATTCCAAATATAAGACAAAATTGCCTTCTTAAATTGTCTTTTCCTTAATGTATTCAATTATATTCTCTGCTTAAAATACTTAAAAATTGGCAGTGATCCATTCACTGATGGGTATTTTAAATTGGAAAGCAGTAACATATCAAATTAACCACACAAAGTCAGTATTATTCTGATTGAGAATTATAGCCACAATGGATTTGAAAATTCCTACCTTGGTTGCAAATTTTTTACATTTCAATCAAGCAGTCTTTGACTTAATAGACTGCAATGTAGTCCAACCACAGTCAATCCAACAAGCTCTTTGCTCACACATCTCTCCCAGTCACTACTGATTTCCTTCCCTCTAGTCATGGCCTTGAAAATTTCCTGAATGCTGTTGCAATGTTCTAAGAGCAATGACTCTTATATCGTATATCATCATTATCCCTAGTCTGTGCATCCTAATATATAATGCTTTAATCCTAGTAGACGCTAAAAAATAGTTGAATTTTGAAGTTGGAAAAAAACTTGGAAATCACCCACTTCAATCACCTTACTTCACAGATGCAAACATTGATACAAAAATTAGTCAACATTCCTAAGGTCAACAGAATTAGAGAAGTAGTACACAGACCCAATGAGCAATTCCCATAGTATGCAGAAGTTCTCAACTCCTGAGAAGATGCACACGTGATAAAATACATATACAATTCCCCTTTACGACTCCAAAAGTATGGCTATTTCTAAATGTCCTTATGACAAGTCCAAATGAATTTTAAAAGCATAAAATTGCTCTATTGCTGGCAACCCTTTTCTACTAATCTGATCACATGAGAAATGTAGGAAAAGACTCTGGATTTGAATGGTCTGTTCCTTCTCAGCTGTGCTTTCTCAAATATCCCATTCAGATACAACACTGTGCTTGCTCCTTAATAATCCTGACCTATTTATTCTCATATTATATCATGGACTTTGGCACACACAAGGTCATATAAAAATATTTACCTAACATTAAACTCTGTTGCTTAAACGAAAATCCACCAGAAAGACATGGCATCTAAATGCTTAGATTTCATTATTATATACACTTCATTTCTTTTTGTTCAAAAACAACAAAGAAAATAGATGTTTTGAAAAAGAAGGCTGTGAAATAAACTTTTCTTATGTCAGCTGAATGCCCTCAAAAATACTTGGACAAAAATATGAGTGTATGAGTGGCTTTTTTAGCAATCTTTGCAGGGCGATTGGTGTTTTTTTGTTCCTAATATGCATTTGCTGAATGAATAACATGGTTGCATTACATGCTATGGAAACTTGACTCTCTGGATGACTAATTTTAGAACTGCTAACTTTTCTTGAAAGCAAAAAGTAATTAAATAACACAAAATGCACTATCTGCAAGTCATACTTTTATAAGCCTTAAGTAGTTTCAAAGTATTTCCAAATAGCAAAAAACTAAAACAAATGTAGCAATTCATAAATATAAAGTAGCAACATAAGTGGTTACAGTAAAACATGCACAATTTAAGATTTTCTAAAGTAAGCTGGAATTCAGACTAATTCCCAGAGGTCACACTCTGTTTTAACAGCACATTCTTGACACTAATTTACTAGATTAAACCCTCAGACGTAGCACTCTCCTAAACAAAGTATCTTCTCCGCAGAAGATAAAATCACCCCTAAATATGGAACTAACATTATATTTTTTAAAGAAACTAACAAATAATTAAAAAAATTATTAACAGAATTAAACCTAACTCTTAAGTTGCAGACATAGGAAACATTTCATTTTATTTACTGTGATAAAACTTAATGTATGCTGTTGTGAAAGCTTAACATTTCTAATTGCTTAAAAAAAATAAAAAATAAAAAGTTCTCCGGAAGTTAAAATGAACTTCAATGAACCAGGCATTAGGCTGATAGAAGTAATCATTTCTCAGCCTTCTTAAAAACAGTCACTCCATGCAAACACAGCCAATCTGATGCTGCTTCAACTTTTCCCCAGCGTGGAAAAGAAAAGTACAAATACAATGATTTTGAGCCATTTTAAACAACTTCATTAAATTCAGAATTTTCTCTTAAAAATCAACACGGTTTCCTGTCATTTCCATTACGCTGAGAAGGGCACACGGACATACATCGGAATCAGACGTAAGGAAAGCAAGCTTACATTTTCGCCCAGATGCTAACTGACCGCAAAGGGTAAGGTCACGGTCAAAATTCACAGGCTCACTTAAACTTTCATGGCTCAGCCAACAACTCCTCTCGTGTTTCCTGATCCTAAGGAGATTAACACTGCAGGAGTCCCTCGCTATTGAGATCAGCAGGAGGCTATTTCAAACCCTCAACCTGCAGTCCGCAGAGCCCGCAGCGGCGCATCTTCCACCACCTCCGGCTGCCCGTTAAGCTAACCTCTCCCAGGCGCTCTTCTTTCAAAGAAACCCCAAACGCGTGCATTCGACTCAAGCCAGCCTTCCCTCGCGCCCGCCGAGACCCCCTCCCTCCTGCGGCCATCCCCTGGCCGCCCTTCCCTTCCGCAGTGGTGACTCCGGCCTGGCTCCCAGGGTGGGGGAGGGTGGGGAGGACGAGGAGGAGGGATGCCTCCCCGCGGAACGCTGCTCAGCCCGCACAGCGGCACCGCAGCAGGGCGCTGCGGGAGAGATGCTAACACACACACACCCTCCCCCCGCCGGGGCCATCATTCCATTGGCTTTTCCTTTGTCAAAAAAAGAATCCTTATCTTCAATTACATAGTTTTCAAGAGAGATTGGGGGGAAAGGACCTAAGCATTAAAGCTGCTGTCCAGATCTCCCCGACCTCCAGTGTTCTCACCCCGTCACCCCGCGGGGAGGCTCCGGACCTCCTGCCCGGGACAGGTACACCTGCCGGCCGCCGGGCACCGCGCATCCCCGCCGCGCTCCGCGGGAGAGCGCGCCGGCCCGGCCCCCGGCTCCCGGCCCCACAGCCCCGCCGAGGCTGACAGCCCCGCGAGCCGCGCCCGCGCAAACTTCCCAGCTCCCAGGCTGCGGGGACAGGACGGGATGACACCGGTGCAGTCCGCAGAGCTCAAATGCACAAGGGATTCCCCCACATCCTGCATCCGGCCGGACCTGGGTCCCAGGGAGGTCCCAGGGGCGCGCGGGCGGCCCGGTGAAGCGGGCGTGCGCCCGAGGATGGGGGCGCCGCGGCAGGAGGGCAGCCCCGGAGCGCGAGCAACCGGAGGGCCAAGGCCCCGCTCGAGCTCCACGCCTGGCAGCAGCTGCAGGAGGAGGGGAACGAGGAGGAAGAGGAGGAAGAGGAGGAGGAAAAAGAGGAGGAGGAGGAGGAGAGAGACCGCTGCCGCAGCCCGAGCCCTTACCGAGTGGTTCACCCCCCACATCAGAACGCTGAGCAGCGGATCGCTGGCCCGAAACAGCTTCACTTTCTGCGCGACGAAGTGCTTCTTCTTCGTCTTGGTCTTGCTTGCCAGCACGGAAGACCCCAGGTTGCCGGGGGTCGCCATGGCCGCCGCCTCGGTCCCCTCCACCGTCGCGCTCCCAAGGCCGGGGACCCGCCCTCTCTACTCGCCGGCCCGGGGAGGCAGCCGCATCCCACCGCGGGGCCCCCGCGCGCCGCGCCCCGCTCGCCCGCTCGGCCCGCCCGGCGAGGCTGGGGAGGAGGCTGCGCTCCGCTCGCGCCCGGCCAGGACCGTGCGCCCGCGGCTCCGCGCTCTGCCCGCGGCTGGACCCGGCGCGCCGCGAGGGCTTCCGCGTTGGGCGCCCGCGTCATGACGCAGGGGGCGGGCCGGGCAGCTGCGGCGCCGCCGGGCGGGGCGCGGGGTGCGGCCGCGGGACCGTTAAGCGGAGCCTCCCGCTCCGGGTCCACCGCCCGGCCCGGCCCTGCGCGCTCCGAGCGCGGGGAGGCCGCGGGATAGGCGTGCAGCGCGCGGGGCCGTTGCCGGGGGGAGGACTCCCGCAAGGCATTCCCTTTAGCTCCCCAGGGAAAGATGGGGAGTAAGGGGGCGTCTGAAGCGAGGAGGCCCCAGAGGCGGAGGTTGGGAGAAGGAAGGAGGCTCATAGAATCGCCGCTTGTCGGTGCCAAGACTCAGGAGAGCTAGTGAGACCTGAAATGCTGCCTGCAGACCAGCGCTTTCCCGAGAAAGGACCTGGGAACGTCGTTGGCTGCCTCCCCAAGTGGCCCTGGAATGAACTTCTGAATCCCTTTGTGCCTTTCACCATCCGGCCTTTGGGGCCTTGGGCTTGGGCCTTTCCCACACTTTCCAATTCATGCTGAAGGGAGACTCTCACCTCACAGTCTGAGCTGTCATTCCCACCACCAGTCCCTCCCCAGACAGGACCCGGATTCCTTGGTTTGGCTAGAAAAAAATGATGTCCTACCCTGCACCTTCTACTTCAAATCCTCAACCAGGTTCCTGACATCCCTTCCTTTTTTTTCCATTCCATGCACCTACTTCCACAGAAATCTGTTTATTGTCTTCATCCATGTACACTTTGATTTAGCCCTTCTTAATGCTGGCAATACTTGGCCCATCTCAGGAAAGCTGCCAAAGCCATCCCATTCTATGTATTTACCCTGACTCAGCCCACTGGGCAAGCATGTTTACCCCTTATCATTCTTCCTCCATCCAAATATAGTGGAGACCTACTGCGTGTTTGATAATCTGCTTAGTTCTGTCATGGAGACAGACCTTTATCCCTTAAGGACCTTATTCTCAGGGGGTGGGAAGTCGAAGGTCATGTAGTCACCTTCATTTGCTCTTCTTTTTTTCTTTGTCCTTAAAACAAAAGGGTTGCCCCAAAGTCCTCTTGTTCTTTCCCAATTCATAGTATTGTCCAAAACGATGTCTGCTCCCCACAGTCAAGCATCGCCACTCTTAGAAGTTAAAAAAAAAAAAAATTACAAAACCTACATTTGTAGGGAGAAAATGGGGTTGTACAGTTCTTCCACTTGTTTGAACAAACCAGTTAAGCTCTCTGAGCTGCAGGTTTTGTTAACAGCAGGGACAGTCAGACACTGATGCCACTATAGGGATTATTCTGGGCCTGGTCATTATAATTCTGCTCTGCCTACTTTATAGGATGTTTGTTAGAATCAAAGTTATCAGTAGACAATCAATTTATAAATAATACAGCACTACATACAAACAAGATAAAATGGGGAGTACTTGTAGGTGACCCATATATTCTCTCCTTGGAAGGCCTGGTTGAACATCTCTGCAGTTATTCACAAGCACCTTTAAAAAGTGCCTAAAATCAAGTTCAAAACCCTTCTCCACCCCCTGTTGCTTTACTTTTCTACTATCTTAGAAATGGCATTCATATCACCCAATACTTCAATCAGAAGTTCATTTATTTAACTAATTTTCATAGGTCCAGGCCTAAAAATTTTGAATCATCATTGATTACACCTCTCATTATCACTGCACATGAACCCCTCTACCAGGTCCTGCCCTTGAAAACAATTGTGCTCAAATATTACCTCTTCCCTGCTGCTTAGTTGAAATTGATCAGTTCTCCTCAGTGTTTCCATAGCACTTTATTTGTTCTATAGAGGCCCAGTGCACGAAATTCATGCAATTCAACTGGGGTGGGGGGAGGTAGGAGGGTGATGGGGGTGGAGGGACCCTCAGCCCAACCTACACCCTCTTGTAATCTGGGACAGCTGGCTTCTAATCGCTCACCTGCCTGCCTGCCTTATCATCCCTAACCTCTCTGCCAGCCTGCCTGATTGCCCCTAACCACTCTGCCTGCCTGCCTGATCACCTCTAACTGCCTCTGCCTGAGCCTCCACCAATGTGGCTTTGTCCAGAAGGATGTCCAAAAGACCTCTGGTCTATCTGGTCTAATTAGCATATTACACTTTTATTAATATAGATAACAGTTCTATTGTACTTAATTATATGTTAATCATGCAAGACAATGGGCTTGCTATGAATGGTAAAAAACTAAATTTAGGGATGACAAAGTGTTGACTGAACCTACGGGAAAGGGTGATGGACTGTCAGATGAGGTTTCACATAGGAGAGCAGGAGGCTGTGGACGGGTGAACAAGGTGTCACGTCAGTTTAGAGTAGATAGAGGCATGGGCATGAAGATGAAAATCCATGTGATATTCAGTTGCGGAGACATGTGGCTTTTAAAAGTAGACTTTTCCCCTAGCAGTATTGAGATATACAATAATTTACATTTAAGTTTGGGTAAGTTAAAGGTGTAACTTGGTTATTTGATGAAGTCTAGAGTGTGAAATGATTACCACAATAAGGTTAGTTAATACCTCCATCACACATAATTCCCACCTGTGTGTGTGTAGGTGAGTGTGTTCCTGTGTCATGAGAACATTTAAGATTTACTCTCTTAGCAACTTTCAAGAATATAATACAGTATCATTAAGGGACAGAATTTTTGGTGGTTTAACCTGTTTTGAATGACATTTAATATAATAGGTCATTAAATGATTTTGCTAATTACCTTTCACACTAACTTTGTATTCTGCACAGGGTGTGTATGATGCAGGATTGCTAGAGTCACAAAAATGATCTCAGAAAGTACCTAATCCAGTTCTCAAATCATATACATAAGACAAGTGAGATCTAGAGAAATTTAAGTGAGTTCCTGACTTTTAGTAGAAGATAAACTCTGAGAAGGCAGGATCCATTTTATACTAACTCTCCATCTGCCCATGAACCTATCATGCTCCCTTCCCCATAGCAAAGTTTTTGTGGCAAAGTTTTGATAAATGAAATAAAAAAGGAGACCCTGGTCGCATAGCTTAATTGATTGGAGCATTGTTGGGATACACCAAGGTTTCAGGTTCCATCTCCCGTCAGGGCACTAGTACAAGAGTCAACCAATGAATGCAAAAATAAGTGGAAGAACACTTATTTCTCTCTCCCCCCTCCCGCCTTTCCTATCCCTTTCTAAAAATAAATTTTTAGAAATAAAAATAAAACCACCAAACTTTTTTTAAGAGAAAGAAGAAAAAAAAAGGAATTTTTCTCTCACACAACAAAGTTACAAATAAAGATTCCACACCAGGACATGCTTGTACCTTTCCATTCAAAAACACTATACTGAGAAATTAAGTTGGGTTAGACTTAATATTTAAACTTGAGGGTCAAATCCTATGTGGATTTAGTAACCTAGCAGTTTGATCACTGTTTTCCTTTGGAGTTTGTATGATAATAAAACAATGCACATGCCTTAGCTCAGTGCCTGACTCAGGCTCCTTATGTTGTCAATGGTTGAGGCACTCCAACCACCAGCAATCAACAAGGGTCTTGACCAGAGGCCTGGTTGGAGGAAGAAAAGCCAGAAAGTCCCATTTCAGGATGAGCAAGCAGCCATGCCAAGCAAGAAGAGTGCTGGGCCGGCCCTTTTCATCGGCCAGTGGGGCGCTCATCCAGGTGTCAGAGAGCCATCTCGGAGGCAGGAGATGCCCCCTCAGCCAAGTTCACAAGGGAGGAGGAAGTAATGTTGGCAAGATGGAAAGGTTTCCAATACTGATTTGTTTCTGTTTGAGGTCAATTTTTTTTTTTTAATATATTTTATTGATTTTGTACAGAGAGGAAGGGAGAGAGACAGAGAGTTAGAAACATCGATGAGAGAGTGTCATCAATCAGCTGCCTCTTGCACACCCCCCACTGGGGACATGCCCGCAACCAAGGTACATGCCCTTGACCGGAATCGAACCTGGGACCCTTCAGTCCCCAAGCCGACGCTCTATCCATTGAGCCAAACCAGTCTCGGCAATTTTTTTTTTTTAACTTTCTTTTACTGTAACCAACTTTATTTACTATCCTAGAAGGATGTGGTAAAAGTGTTATGTTGACTAAGGTATGCAGTTCCAGAAATGGATGTTAAAATAGGGTGGATTCCCTGTTTTGTTTTTAGTTTTCTTTCCATTAAAAAAAAAAAATCTTCAATTGAATAATTGAATTAGAATTAGAATTAATTAGAATTCTTCCTTGAGAAGAGGAATTCAGTAATCTTCTTAGTGCTGTTTGGAAGCTCTTGTGCTTTTCATTGTTCTGTGAGGAGATCAGAGCAAGATGTGGGGAATTCAGTCTTTCATAGTATTTCCAGAGCCTTGCTTCAAAAATGGTATTATTGTAGAAGACTAACATTAAAGTGCATTTACAGTCAAAATGCAATAAACGGGATCCAAGAATTCCAACTGTGACATGTGAGTTACTTTTGGGGGCAGTGGACTTAGTAGACATTCTGGAGCACAGCTTGCCATCTGGGAGTTCTGAGGGTCTGTGCTGTCCAAACCCCTCCTGGAGAGGCTGGTAGGGGTTATCCACTCATCTGAAACATTGATGATAATTCTTTTGGCTTCTGCAGCTGGCTGGGACCTCCAGGACCGTGGCAGCAATCCAAGAACCTACCACTTAGTTGGCAGCTATTTTGTTGGCCTGACTTGGGGAGATCAGACTGGGAGAGGAATGGGAGTAAAGCAGCTCACACAGGGTGACCATGTCCCAGCCTGCCCACCTTCCCTCCACTGCCCACACAGAGGATGAGAATGGTAGCAGCTCCCTTGGAAGACAGGAAGCTGAGTGGAGGACAAGAGTCAATCTCCATGGGATCATATATTTATTTATATATATATATATATATATATATATATATCTTTATAATAGAAACTAGAGGCCCAGTCATGAAATTCATGCGGGGGGGGGGGGGGGGGAGGCGCTCAACCAGCCTGCACCCTCTCCAATCTGGGACCCATTGGGAGATGTCAAACG